TTAACTTGTTCACAAACCTTTAACTTCTCCTTTAAGGGCTCCAGAGTTTCCTGAAGTTCCTTCTTGTGTTGTCGTGCAGCTTCATCGACGGGTCTGAATCTGTGGTTGCTGTGTTTTTCTGAATCTCTGCAGACGAGACACACTGGCTGCTGATGGTCCAGACAGAAGAGTTTGAGTTTCTCAGAGTGCAGACTGCAGAGAGCCTCTGAAGCTCTCTGATCTCTCTCCTGTAAGAAGGCCTCACACAGCTTCTTTAACGCCAGGTTATAAGGTGGTTCTTCCTTTGAAGATCTTCTGTTACAAACTGGACACTCAAGTGCTTGTTTTTCTCTCCACCAGCTCTTCAGACAGACTTTACAGAAGCTGTGGCTACATGACAGAACAACAGGATCTCTGAAGACCTCCTGACAGACCGGACAGCAGAGATCCTCCCCTGATCTGGAAGCCATTTTGTCTCTGAAGCTGAAACCCCAGCAGACAGAAAGTACAGTCAGTCATGGCTCCCCTCCCTCCTCTACTTTAATGTTATGTTTTTAGTCAAACTCACCTTTAGTGTGTGGAGCGTCAGCAGGTTGAAGCAGCAGTGTTGTAGTTTTCCACTTTTCTCTCCTGTAGCTGAACTCAGTCAGAGGAAGTTGTTAGTTTGTGTCTGAAGGTGAATCTGATCGTCTGGTTTTCACTCTGTGTCTCTCTGTAGTGAGGAAGGATAAGAGTCTGATTTCTTTGTCAGACCCCTGATAAAAGCTGTTGCTTCACCTGTAACAGGGTGTGTTTCAGTCCAAAGTACTTATTTATTGCTGGATATGTAGACTGACTGTGTGCAGCAGGCTGCTCTAAAAGCTGTTTGTGCTCAGTGTTGAATGTAGAGGAGTTAACTTACTAAAATCCTGGGAATATTCTTGGAATTGAGATTTTGGCATATCAGGAAGATTCGTGAGCACTTTGTGGAAGCTAATAGGAAATGATGAATAATGAATAAAGCCTCAGCCGGGTGTTCAGCATGGATGTGTTACTAGAACTTGATACCAGACCCCAAGACGGCGTCTATCCAGCCCAATTAGAAATGCTCACCTGGCCCAAAAGCCAAATTTGATTTACTATTCAAACTAAACTCATCCATAATTGTATTTTTTTCAGTGTTATTTGTGGTGACTGGTGACAACATCTCTGATGTGAAAAGACACATTTAGTCATAAAAGTGTCATTCAAACATACAAAAAGAGATATATTAAGAAAGAATCAGAATTTTTGCCAAGTAGGTTTACCAGTAAGTATTTTGTTGTTCAACAATAAACATAGTAGGTAGAAAATACACTGCAGTGTAGAGCTGACCAAGTTTGATTACTAAAAGATTAGTTACTCTCCTAACTCCTCAAGTCTAACCACCTCTCGACTATCCTCATGAACCAAAACCATCTTCTAGAATCCAAAGATTTCTACCCGCTTTTTTCTATTATCATGTATAATATGTACAGTCGCACAAGAAAGTATGTGAACCCTTTGGAATTGCCTTGATTTCTGCACAAACCCCGGTTGCCCCGGCCTTTCTGTGTGGAGTTTGCATGTTCTCCCCGTGTCTGCGTGGGTTGTTTCCAGGTACTCCGGCCCAAAGACATGCAGTCTAGGTTAATTGAGGACCCTAAATTGTCCCCCACGAAGGAATGTGAGGAAACGGCGACTTGAACATTGCGACGTGAATGATGGAGTTATGTATGTGAGAACTGAAAAACGGGAGAGAAAAGGGGTTAGACAGGCTTATATACGTGAGTGTATGTGATTGGATTAGAGAGGCACAGGTGGATGAAATGAGTGAAGCACGGGTGGTTGATTGAATGAGGTGTTCGAATTAGTGAGAGAGAGGCCTGGTCCTGTTCCTGCTCCATTAATCAGAACAAGCTTACAACCATCTGTGTATAATATAATCACTGATAGGGAGTAGCTAGTTACATGTGATTTAATTACAAAATAAATATAATTGTAATGTGTTAGTTACTCATGAAAATGTTCACGATTACTTTTATCTGAATATTTTCTCTAAAAATCTCGGCTATATGTTGATTGATATTCATTTTGTTGCATGTTTTTCATTTGCACAATGTCTTCCTTTTTTATTAAGCTTTTATTGACAACCAGTAAACATATGAAATACAGAAGAACAGAATATACCAGGGAGACATAAAGCTGATAGAAACGAATAAAACACAAATCTGAAACTGAAAAATGTTCAACAGGGTGAACAGTCTTCATAGCTTTCCTGGTTTTATAATATAGGATTGATTTAATGTACTGTTTGACTTTGCTGTCAAAATTGGCAAAGGATGGTTTATATTTGCAGGATTAAGATTTATGAACATGTGAGTTTGCGTGCAATAGAATCAAATTGATGATATAGAAATGATTTGCTTTGGTGGAATTAAAAAAGCTGAACAATACATTATCATAGAAAAGGAAGAATTTAGAGTCAATCCGTTGGGAGATAAATGTACAGATATCTTGCCAAAAAGTGTAACAGTGGGGACAGGAGCAAAGTAAATGATGCAGGTGTTCAGAGCCATTTGACAAAATGAGCATTTTCCATGTTAGTACTTTTTGGAGGCCAACGATCCATCTTTTCGTCTAGCACAGTATTAAAGTCCCCTCCCCATATTACTTTAGCTGGGGGATATTTTGAGTAGAGGTTGCAGATTTTGGATTCAGTATCTCGAAAAAATGCTACATTACTGAGTTTACTGTTGGTGACACAAGTATTAACCAAAATAAATTGATTGTCATTCATATTTACGACTAGAATAATCCATCTCCCATACATGTCTTTTTCGTAGTGCAATACCTGACCTTTAAATTTACCTTTTAAAATAGCAACACCTGCTGATCGATTACTGCCATTGGAAAACCAGATCTCACTGCCCCGTTGACTTTTCCAGAAAGATACATCTGTTGAACATTCGCGAGTTTTCTGAAGAAAATAAAAATTAGCACCTTTACAATACAAAAATAAATGTAAATGTTCCATACTTGTATAGCGCCTTTCTAGTCTTTTCGACCACTCAAAGCACTTTTTACATTACATCTGCATTGTCATCCAGGTCATAGTTATCCAACGAAGGTTAAAATCAAGGGCAACTGGACTTGGTTGAAGACACTGGAAGACATTTCGTCCCTCATCCAAAGGACTTCTTCAGTTCTGACTGACAGGGTGATGAAAGGACAGCATTGTAAGTGGGGGAGGGGGTCTACGCCACCACTTATCCCCCACTTACAATGCTGTCCTTTCATCACTTCGCAGGAAACTCAGCAAACGTAACCTATTGGCCTCAGGTGAAGATACCAACGATGGTCGTTCAGTCTTGGCCACAGGTAGTCTTAACGACTGTAACGACTGTCGTCACAGCAACAAGGAACACTAACGAACCAGCGGTATCGATGACCAGGGCCAACGACCCCACTGAGGTTAAATAGCTGAGTTTCCCTGCCAGTCAGTCAGAACTGAAGAAGTCCTTTGGATGAGGGACGAAACGTCTTCCAGTATCTTCAACCAAGTCCAGTTGCCCTTGATTTTAACTTTCGTTGGATACATCTGCATCCACCATTCACACACTGAGCCTAAGTGCTCAAACAGAAACTAACATTCACACTTTGGGGTTCAGTATCTTGCCCAAGAACACTTTGACATGCAGCCAGGGGGAGCCAGGGATTGAACTGCTGGCCTTCTGATTAACGGCTAACCTGCTCTACCTTCTGAGCCACAGCCGCCTGAAATAAAGCGTTTCTTTTCAGAGTGACATTTATTGAATGGATTGAAAGAGACATTAGAACAATAGATTTAGGAGCCATACACTGGGTTTGTTTGGGCTTTTATTGGGTTTCCTCTCTTTTCTTTGCACTGTAGTGTACATGCACGCGCATCGTGACGTCATCGGTTACTGTGGGTGTGACCGGGGGCGTGGTGTCTGTATTAATGTGTGTGTGCTCACCTGTGGGGAAGCTTGGGTTGATCATGGCTGCAGGGTGAGCATGGGGAAAAACTTTCTGTTGACCGTTACCATCGTCGTCATCATTACTAACATCTTTCACTGATGTCTCTGAGGTACCTTTGCACTGCTTACAACATGCATCACTCAAAGTAAGTGATTGGTTTTCTATGTATGTGAAATAGCGTAATAAAGAGACTCAATATGTACGATGGTTCAGCGTGACGCGTCTTCAGTGTAAATCCTCATGTTTCAGCCTGCTGCGGCGTTTTAGTTGTTTTGGTGGGTCTGGTTTGTTTGTTTTAGTGGTATACGCCGCAATATTGTGTTGTAAATTATGTAGTTGGATGGTAATTTCATGTACAAGAAGTGGCTTTTTACCAACCTATCATCCAGTCTGTTCTCTGCACCTCCATCACTGTCTGGTTTGGATAGGAGCAGACTACAACGGACAGTCAGGACAGCAGAAAAGATCATCGGTGCCAACCTGCCCTCCATTCAGGACTTACACATTTCCAGAGTCAGGAAACGGACAGGAAGCATCACTGCAGATCTATCTCACCCCGGACACAACCTGTTCCAGCTCCTCCCCTCTGGTAGGCGCTACAGAGCACTGTACGCCAAAACCAACTTACTCAAGAACAGTTTCTTCCCACAAGCCATCACTCTGATGAACAGCTGATTTCTGACTCTCAATGTAGGCTACTCACTTCATGTGAAAAGTGGCATCTCCCATCAGTAATGATTTTTGGATGTTTCATTCATAATGGTAATTTTGACAACATCGCTCTTGTAAAAGGACATATTATGAATAAAAAAAGTGTCATTTGGAGAACGTTATGAAATAAAAACGGATGAAAAGAGATATTTTAATAAAAATCTTTAATCTTTCCATGTAGCGCCATCATCAGGTCAACATGTTAATGTGTCCAACAGTTTAGTTAATGAAAACAAAATACATTCAGAACTAAAGACATTCCCATCAGCCATCACAAGTTGTTAAAATAGTTGATGTTACTTTTAATGTTAATTTTCCATTTATCGTCTGTCTTTTCATACGTCGAGTCATTTCACTTATTTTCTGATCTTTATACAGCAGAGAAAGCCGTCCACCTGAATAGAGCGACTCCTCCTCTGACTTAACGTCCAACAGCAGAATCCAACTGATGATACTGAATGAAACACTTTGACAGACAGAATCATCTCGGCTTCATCACATCAAACTGAAACTTGTACAAATATTTTAGATCATTTAAGACATATATTTTATATTTTGTAAAGATTTCACACGTGATTTCATCAGCTTCCATAAAGTGGCTGCTGGTCTTCATGGCTCCACACACACGTCAAAATAATATAACACAAACAATTATTTAAAACACAGTGTGGATAAAAAAGAAACCGCTAAACCAACCAAACATAAAGAAACTCAGTGAAATCATTTTACATATGAAAAGGCCGACAGGAGAAACAAAAAGCTGATTGTCAGAAACAATAGAATAGAATAAATAGAAATAGATAGATAGAAACAATAAAATAAAGAGATGTTTGGAATAATGAGACAGCAGGAGGACAGGTGCAGCTTAACGGGTTAAATTCAGAGACTTTTCCCTTTAAGAAATCAACAACATCATGAATATAATCATCCTCTTTATCTCTGCAGATGTAAATTAGCCTAAGGCTAACTCTGGTGTAATGCATCAAATGTTTACATTTATGTTATTAATTGCACATGGTCCCTTCTAAATAAAAATCAATCAATAAATCAATCTAACTGCTCTGTTCCACTGTCACACAGACCTTCACTGCTGACAGCTTCACTTCATCTACAGGGCTAATCAATGGAAACAGCCTCTCAGTGAAAGTGTGTGTGAAGGTGTGTATGTGTGTGTTAGTATCAGGATCAGAGAACGACAGCTTTCCTCTGTTCCAGTCCAGATTCACTCTGATCCTCTGGAGCTTCTTCTGAACGCTGAGATCTGTGGATGAAGCTGGTGGTGACCATGTTAAGTATTTACCTTCATAGAACCAGATTCCCCATAATCCAGACCGTATGAGTCCCTTTCTTTGAACAGACTCTGCTAACACACCCAGTATCCAGCATGCACTGTCTCCAACTTTGACATCCCAGCTGTGAGTCCCTGAGTTAAAGCCCTCAGAGCCCAGGACAGAGTAGTAATCATCAAACCTCTCTGGATTGTCAGGAAGCTGCTGTCTCTCTCCTCCTCGTCTCACACTGGTCAGATCTTCAGACAGGATGAGTCTTGGATTTGCAGTGTTTGGGTCCAGAATGAGAGGAGTGTAGGAGACCATGTCCTTCATCTTGTTCCAGATGTTGCAGGTCAGGTTGCCCAGGTGTTTGGCCTGGTCTATCAGAGCTCCTGAGGGCAGCTGTGGATCATCCAGCAGGGGGCGCTGCTGGACTCTTTCCACTGCAGCCTTGTAGTTGAGCAGGAATGAGACGTCTTCAGCTCTCAGCTCCTCCTCTGTGGCTCTGACTGTGTCTGAAAGAGCTGCTATCTCTCTGCTCAGAGCCTCCATCTTCTCCTTCATCATCTGACTCTTCTGCTCCTCTTCCTCCCTCAGTGCAGCCATCCTGGCCTCCTCTTCCTCCTCTAGAAACTGCTGAAGCTTCTTAAACTGCTCCTTAATCTGCCTCTCTGTGTGTCGGGCCTGGACCTTCATGTGTTCTGCTGTTTGATCAAACTTCACTTTAACTTGTTCACAAACCTTTAACTTCTCCTTTAAGGGCTCCAGAGTTTCCTGAAGTTCCTTCTTGTGTTGTCGTGCAGCTTCATCGACGGGTCTGAATCTGTGGTTGCTGTGTTTTTCTGAATCTCTGCAGACGACACACACTGGCTGCTGATGGTCCAGACAGAAGAGTTTGAGTTTCTCAGAGTGCAGACTGCAGAGAGCCTCTGAAGCTCTCTGATCTCTCTCCTGTAAGAAGGCCTCACACAGGTTCTTTAACGCCAGGTTACGAGGTGGATCATCCTTTGAAGATCTTCTGTTACAAACTGGACACGCAGGTGCTTGTTTCTGTCTCCACCAGCTCTTCAGACAGACTTTACAGAAGCTGTGGCTACATGACAGAACAACAGGATCTCTGAAGAGCTCCTGACAGACCGGACAGCAGAGATCCTCCTCTGATCTGGAAGCCATTTGGTCTCTGAAGCTGAAATCACAGCAGACAGAAAGTACAGTCAGTCATGGCTCCCCTCCCTCCTCTACTTTAATGTTATGTTTTTAGTCAAACTCACCTTCAGTGTGTGGAGCGTCAGCAGGTTGAAGCAGCAGTGTTGTAGTTTTCCACTTTTCTCTCCTGTAGCTGAACTCAGTCAGAGGAAGTTGTTAGTTTGGTCTGAAGGTGAATCTGATCGTCTGTCTTTCACTCTGTGTCTCTCTGTAGTGAGGGAGGATAAGAAGCTGTTTCTTGGTTTTTCTCAGGTGAGGGGTGGAGCTTTGTCAGACTCCCTCTGCTAAAAGCTGTTGTAACCTGTGTTTCATTCCAAAGTACTGATTCATTGCTGGATATGTAGACTGACTGTGTGCAACAGGCTGCTCTAAAAGCTGTTTATGTTCAGTGTTGAATGAAGTTGAGGAGTTAACTTACTAAAATCCTGGGAATATTCTTGGAATGGGGACCAAACAATGAAATTATTCATAAGCAGTGTCAGAGGAACTTCTGTGTTTGTATCAAACACCAGTTGCACAGAGATGAAAGAAGTATGTGTAAACCTACTTGGCAATAAAGCAGATTCTGATAAATTTAGTCTAATTTCACTTTTGTTTGTAGTTTAACAGGAGAATGATATTTTCCTGCCAGACTTTCGATAACTCTGCCTCTCTTGGTCAGGATTGGTTAAAGTTAGGTTTAGGGCGGGGTTAGAGTTATGGACAGCCAATCAGAGGCAGAGTAGGGGGCTGAACTCGGCCCAGGTGTCCCTCTAATGAGAGTTGTTGAAACTCTGGCAGGAAAATCAGTGAACGCGCCTCTCGTGAGATTCAGCTGCAGCGTCCAACCAACACAGGTAACAGGTGTGTTTCCCACCTGCTGACTTTTAAACTCTACCACACACAGGTTAAAGAGATTAACTCTTCATGATAACTGATACTTAGCTCACACAGTACAGGAAATAGTACAGCCTCTATGTAGCAGCATTATTCCTGTAGTTTTAGCTAACATTAGCCAAAATGCTAATAGTCATAGGTAAGTTAATTCTTACTTTAGTTAATGTTAACTCACAAAATAAAAGGTTTAACCATTTTCCCCACTAAATTAACACTAAATTAAAACGATTGTGTTGTTCACTCTCACTAAGTTACCCAAACATAATTTTCAGGCTGCTCACGTATCTGTTCTAGAAGTGTATGCAAATGAGGCCTCATTTGCATATCATATCAAATCAAATCAAATTTCAGAACACTTTACATTAATAAGAGAGTAATTGTCTTAATGTAAATGTTAATGGTGATATCTTAAAATGAGTTGTACTAGCGTGGATGTTGAAGTAAATTTTTATTCAATTCAGTATTTATATAGTGCCAAATCACACCAACAGTTATCTGGTGTTGAAAAGTAAAAAGTAATCTTTTTGTGAACTGTATTATAAGAAATGGCGTCCTATGATGATGGTGAGGTGGAGGGTAGTGAAGTGACGGAGGCACGGCAGCTATTAGAACAACTAAGTGTGAGTATTAAATGTGGTGGGTTACTGCACATTACTGCAGCTCCTGTTTTCACCCTGAGGGCTGAACTCTCCGTTTTAGCTACAGAGTGAAGCATCTCACTTCTATTCGATCTTTGTTGGAAGTTACACATGTGCAGTACCTAGTTAAGGCCTACTAGCCAATCAGAAGCAGCGTAGGGCGGGTCCTGACAAGCAAGGTGAACACGGGTCATGGGTTCCTGAACCAGCCTAGACTGGAGCAAGAGCTTCTAGGGCTGGGAATAGTTTATCTGGGCGGGGGTCCAGACAGAGAGCAGACGAGATGAGCGGCGTTTCCGGTAGTGGAACGAAATCTAACATGTATTATGCAAAATTCACTTTTAACTTTTATTATTGCGACTAAATGCTCTTCTTCCACAAATTGGCCTAATATAATTATTTAAATGTGTTAATTAGTTTGTTGTTTATTTCCAGCCTACAGTTTACTGATTCATTTAATTAGCAAAAAATTATAGCTTTATGTCCACTGACTGCCTGGAGGGTTTCTAACGCTGGGTGGGGGAGGAGTGTGTTTTTCCAGTGGTGTTTTTGAGGGCGTGCCACACTAGCCGCTAGGCGAGGGTTGTGTCTTACGCAGTGATGCAGACATGTGAAGTAAAGGCTGGACTACAATCCAGCTGTTTTCAGTTCAGGAGCAGAGTTTTCTATGGGAGATGGAAACTCCCTTTGGGCTGGACTTTTCACTTTGCAAACCTATTACATGCACAAAAAAGATATATAACACAATAAAGGAGAGGGGAAGCCAGTAAGCAATAAATTACCTCTTTAAGGCTTGATTGACTGCCCATATCAGACTCCAGAATAATACAACGTCACACGTATCACGCTGTTGTACGGAAACACCCACCGTCTTCTCGTGCTGTTACTATAGTAAACCTACTATTACTGGCTGGCTGCTCGCGACCTGTTTCTCTGGTTTCTTGTCCTTTCGTAGGATTAAAAAGATGCCGGTATGTCATAAATAAAGAAAGTATTTTGTGTGTTTGGTGCGCAAATCAGTCAGTTGTTAGGAAACCCAGAGAAGGTTAAAGTCAAGGACAACTGGACTCTCCCTCATCCGTAAACCATAAAAATAGTTATTATTTGCTGCGATCTGGTTACAAAAAGTATTGATTGAAGTACCGGTTAGACTGGAGACGTTTCGATTCTACTTGACTGTTACGGCCGATACCATAAAAGTTATCGAGTAGCGATACCCGTCGGGAGTGAGAATGTGTTGCTGTGTGATAGATATGGACGTCAGTTCTGTTGTACTTGCAGAATGCACACGAAGATCCGGCCACGACCAAAGAGCAGCTCCACCACCAGATCGTCCAAACCTGCGACAGGATCATGGAGGCGATTGACCGTCAGGTCGAGTTAAGAAGGGATGCGGAGCAGGAGGCGGCGCAGCTGGAGAAAGAAGTTGCTGCCGAGAAAGAGCTGCTGAAAGAAGGGCTGAAATTGCTGAAAGAACTTGAAGAAAAGAAAGAACAGCTGAAAGTCCTCCTGGCTTTATCTCGGGGTGGTAAGTGTTTGTGTTTAGCTGCTAAGAAATGACGGTTGTGAGTTCTGAACTTATTGGATGTTTCTCTTTCAAAATGAATATATTAAATTGCGGCGGTGACTGTGTCCGCTGTTTTGGCCCACTCTCTCTCTTTAATCTCTTGAGTTAAGTGGTTTTGGATTTCTCGACGGAGGTTACCAGCACCTCTAAGTCATCTGACTTGAAGTTCAATGATAGTTGTTGTTGTTTCTGCTCCATTTTCAGTTTATGTTTCCTTAAAAAAACAACCAAAAAACAGCGATTAAAAGCCGTTTAGCTCAACCAGATGAGAAAAGTGGCATCGGTTGCTAGGTAACAGACATAAAAGTTGATAACCGATGTTGGATTGAGTATTTAGGATTACTAACCTGAGATGGGATGAAATAAGATAAGATAGTTAGGATTCACTTCTGTAATACCAAATTGAGAAAAATCATCTCTTAGACTCTTCCTGTGTTAAATTAAGACTTTCTGTAATGTGGCCCCAGGGACCCAAAAGGCCCCTGCTCGGGGGGGTAGTACTTTTCCAAAGTACCGGAAATTTTGGGGGGGTGGGGCTTGCTTTACAGTGCGTTTCTGGTTGGTCACTTTAAGTCGAGCATTTTGGGTGAATCCACTTTGCTGCTACTGCTCGTCTCTTTTCTGCCATTGACAGAGTCCCATATTTACTCTAGTCTCTTTCTGGGTCTCTTTCTTTCTCTCTCTTCTCTCTCTTTTATTCTTGATATCATTATAAAATAATGATCATGAGTCCCTGTTCATGTGTCTGTGTTCTTGTTGTCTACATGTGTGCAGCTGTGACTGAGGCCAGCACCCAGACGGAGAAGGACAGCATGTAAATGTTTGTTCCTGTGTTCGTGTTGGAGTTCTTTTTTTGCGTTATTATAAAATAAATCACACAAAAGTGGCAGCTTGTGTCCATCCTGCACATTTACCTGTCAGTAGTTTTGTACTTTTACTTAATCAAGTAGGATTTGGAATGCAGGACTTTTACTTGTAATGGAGTATTTATATTATATAAATTACCAATAATATTACTACTAAGATTAGTTAAACTACATTGGTATAGAAATTTAACATTACAGCAGCACAAGAAGATCAAAGAGGTAGAAAAGAACCGTTATGAGTAGAAACTATATTTACGGTGAAGTACGCTTTGTTGTGTATTTTCTACTTCTTTTTCTTACTGTTTATTATTATTATTATTATTATTCATCATTACATTTCTGTCATAGAATACTGTACATATATCACACTTTCTATTATTATTTCTATTCCTTTATACTTTGTATTTCAGATTCTGAATACATTTACAATAGAGTACAGTGTAAAAAACAAAACACCATATTATTAGTATTAATGGTGAGAAAAATAATATAAGTAAGAAATATAAGAAATGTTTATTATACAGATAAAAGAAATTGTCAGCTGAGTTGGACACTTGTTGTGTCCATGTAAGATCAGCAGGGGGCGCTAAAGCTTCAGGAGAACAAATCCTGCAGCACCTTTTTTTTCTCACAATTAAAAAGGGCTGCTGAAATTCAGGATTTTAAACTCGTGTCATGTCAAAGCTTCTCATCATGTGTGAGTTACAGTGAGGGTACTTCCCTTTCCGCTAGCAGAAGTTACCCAGTATGAAGTAAAATGACAATAAGTCAGATGTTTGATATGATAAAAACCTTCACATGATCTTCAGACTCCTGGTCTCAGGCCTTTTATCTCCAGCTCGTAGGTCACCTGTCTACTGTGGTGTCGCTTTATAGCTTTGTGACACTTGTCTTGTTATTGTTAACATGTGACTCTCACATGCTCATTATGGGTTAGCATTTCCTTTTTTTTAGCCACGCTAGCAGCTAATGTTTTGTCATTCCCCCACTTTGATCCAGACTGACAAAAATATCAATAACTATTGGATGGATTGGAAATAAATATTGTACAAACAGTCATGAAAACAAACAAGAAGCGAGCTACAGAGGAACTTTGAGCTTCACTGGTCAGTGTCTCTGAACTGATTAACAAACTCATGTTTACGCCTCAATATCAGCTCTGAGGGGATTCTAGCGGGAGGAAGACTGTCAGTAGTGCAGGAGTTAAAATATTAAGGCATCATAATGGACACACCGCTCAAATCACAAGTTTAAAAATCAGAATCAAATTTCATTTCAAAATCTCAGACGTTTTAACTACAGAGGCCTCAAAGTTTTACATCAACGCCACGATCGTCTCACACATGAGCTACCGTCTGACCCGCTGGACACCGACAGGTAGGACGACCGCATTACAAGGAAACAGGCTTTGAAAACATTGGATAAAAAGTCCAGAGAAGAATGTTTTTCCTGTTTCTACAGTCAGTGATGGTTTGGGGCGTCATGTCCTCTGCTGGTGTTGGTCAAAGTTGTTTCATCAAGTCCAGAGACGTTAGAGCACTTCCTGCTTCCATCTGCTGACAAGCTTTATGGAGATGCTGGTTTCCTCTTCCAGCAGGACTTGGCACCTGCCCACAGGACCAGAACCACTAGGAACTGGTTTGCTGACCATGGAGTTACTGTGCTTGATCGGCCTGCCGAGTTCTGTGTCAAGTGTATTAGACATGCTTTATTCTGATAGTCTAATATTTTGAGAGATGGATTTTTGGTTTCCATGAGCTGCAACCATCAAGAATAAAACAAGAAAAAAGGTCTGAAATATAAAATTAATATATGAAAGTTTAACTTTTTGACTGAAATTACAATTAAATTTTTTTTTTTAATCAAAGCTTTTGATGAAATGCTGTCATGCAACAATATGGTGGCAACAAAAGAGATCGTAGACCTGATGAGCATCAGCAGGATCTGCACCGTCGCTGTGATGCTTGTTCACATGCTGAAGCTTTCTGTCTCACAGAGGCTGCACACTTTTATCTCTGATTAATATTAGTCCCATGAAAAGTTTTGGAGACTCGCCTCAGAGCGTCTGTGATTCAGCAACCTGATAAAACGGTCCCTTTATTCTGTTACTTGAGTTGTGCAGAAGCCACAACACTTATTCACTTCCTGTTACTCACACTGGTCATTTCACCTCTACTCTCGCTTCCTTCTTCTCTCCCCTCTTATCATTTTAATTAACCTCCCTTATTCTCAGTCTCACTTTCACATTTTATTTCAGTAAAACCCCCGTCTGACTGAACACTTTGCAGTTCCTGTTTCAGCACAACAGCGTGACATTTCAAACGAAAAATGAAATATGTATAGACTTTTACTATTAAATTTAACTTTGTGGGTTTTGGCTCGTGGCCTTCAGGGCGTCCTCATAGTGAGACGGTTCAGTTCTTTGTTTCTCAGCTGCCTCTCTGGTATCACGAAACCTTTCTAAATGTCATTTGTGATGTGAGTGTGTGCACACATTTGCAAAGCCCTCTCTTTGCTCCTCTCAGGGACTGAGTACTAAACTTTACTGTTTAGTACTCAGTATTATTAAATGAAGCTCTCACATGCTGGTCTCTAGTTTCAACACAAAAAAAACAGCACAAGACAAAAATATTCCTCAGAGAGTTAATTTAACATTTCAGATTCATTCTGTTTATATCGAGTACACACAGGAACGAAATGCCGTTTCTTACTGGAGCATTATAAAGTGTGTAGTGCAACTCGTTTCAGGTGGATTTAACCTATATATGACCACATTTCCACCTACTCAAGCAGAGGCTAAAGCGTCCTTTAACTGCACATCAGCACCAGGAATAAAGTCATTCACACACCGATGGCACGAGGGTACGAAGGGTGCTTTGACACCGCCTTTCCGGTTAGTGGACGACCGCTCTACCCTCTGAGCCACAGCCGCCCCGCGTGCATCATAGAGCCATGGCCGTCCATGACCCTGTCCTCCTTGCACCACGTTTGTTCTGACCACCGCAGACCGGTCTGGAGATTTGGCTCTTTCCAAAGTCGCTCAAATCCTCACCTGCTGCCTGACGTGTCCCACCCACTGACGGGTGACATGGTGACGAGATGACCAGTGTGAATCACTTCACCTGTCAGTGGTCATAATGTTGTGGCTGATCGGTGTACAGTATATTGAGTGGACAGGATGTACATGTGTGACACTGGTTGCAGCTCCTCCTGCCTTGTCTCCTCAAAAAGTCTCCGAATGCACCGAAGTTACTTCACTTTTAAAAACCGCTTTGAAACCGCACCGCCCGGTGTGGTCAAAACGAAAGCATTCAAGGTTATTTTTGCACGGGGTCTTTCATATTGAGCTGTTTGCTCTCTGCACTACTGCTTTTATCATTCGCAGCCTTTATTGGCCTGGTGGGAGATTTCATGTAGGACGCACAACAAGGACTTTATTCATTTGGCCTCTTCATTCATTCATTCATGCGAGTGTCCATAAAGGTCATCATGCATCTCTTAAATCCACCCACACAGTGGTTTTCAACCTCTTCTCAGTGTGTGTGTGTGCAAACTCAGCTTGACTAACATCTACCTGATTCTTCTGTTAGCTTTGTTACACCTGGCAGATCAATTTACCCTGTTATCAGTAGCAGTAGGGGAGAGCGGGGGGGTTTGAGCCTGTGGGGAAGTTGAGCCACCCCTTGTTTCTAAGCAGCCATAGACAAAATTGGTCATGTGACCACACAGTTTTGAAGAGTCATCCATTTTACTCACCCTGTGATGAAGAGAGGTCCATGGAATAATGTTTAAGATCAAAAAACTGTGATTTCTTTATGTTGAAGGAGTCCTGATTCTTGTGTCTGAACATTTACAGACAGGTTTGAGAAACTCTTACGCATGTGTTAGAGCTTTAGGAAGTTACAATATGAGGCTAAACTGTTAGCGTGACGTTACCCACAAACTGCTGGATGACACAAGTTAGTTAAAATAGCATGGACGGCGTAATTTGAGCCAGATATCTGACTCTAATTTTAAATTGCATTCTTATGCATCACCAAAACGATGTGACATTCTGCATTTTAGACCAGAAACCATCATGTCATGCTTCTATAAATGGAAGACAGACAGGTTTCAACTCTTCTTGTGGGTTTGGACAGAGTCCAAGGAGAGGTACAGAATGGGAAGTCCAGACATCAGGTGGGACATGACGATCAACAGGATGGCTTTGAAGTGATACGTCGATGTGAAACAACGAGGAGACACAGCTGCAGTGTTTCACTATCTTAAGTGCAACTGAATGTTGGGACCTGGCTTTGATTTTGCACCGTTAAAATGCTATTGATGTCCTTACTTACCCCTCATATGGGGCAACTTGAGTCATATTTTGAAACCAGTTTATTTTAGATCCAAATTGATGATTCCCAGTGATGCATCACATCCTAAAAGATGTGTTCATATTTCAGCTGGAAACATCACTGTCATGTTCTCACTTTAGGAGCAGAAGTAGATTCTGATCAGCCAGACTGTGACACAGTGATAATAAAAAGTCTGTTTGTTTTTATTATCAGTTGCTTAAACTTCTCTTTTGTTATCATCCCATTTGGTTTTTAATTTTACGTTCTGCGTATCTGCACACGCACACCTGACGGCTGAGTCCCACCTGAGCAGGGACTTTATGGAAATATTCCAGAATCCAAAAATCTCCTGTTTGTCTCTTCTGAACGAGGGATTTACCCGCATCGTCTTGTTTTAGTCAGCTGCTCATCCTCAACCAACAACAACACTAAAACCCTGCTGTTACATGAACAATAATGATAATAATATACTGTATATATTAGTACAACAGTCACAGGACATTTCTCTTTCTGCATTGAGTACTAATTGTACCTACATACTTTATTTAAGTAACCTTTTCAGTGCAGTACTTGTAACAGCGTATTATTACAGTGAGGTATTAGTACATTTATACTTTAAAAGAGAAGAGAAGAAGCTGCTTGTGTTTATACAGTCTATGGTTTACTTGTCTGAAATCAAAGATCTGTTGTTTACAACTTGACAGTCAGTTATTTACTTTAGATATGGATGCCAAAACACAAACTACAAATGTGCTCGGACAGTTAGATGTAGACGAAGACGCTACAAGTATGTGAGGAAGTAATATTAGTACTGCATATTCTCTAGTACCATATTAGATCAGCGTGATGATATCTGCATTAATACGCACTCTGTTTTCCTTACATAGAACATTAAGAGGAGGGAAAGTCCTTTGCTTTTGTCACCTGAGTGGAGCAGATGTGGCCAACCAGGTGAGCCAAACAAACTGCAGCGGGAAACTCCTACTTCCTCTTCTACAACAATACTCCTACGTTAATTCCTTTATGAAGTAATTGCCTCATAACTTTAGCTTTACAAGGCGTGCAGACACTGTTTATGTTAACTAGAAGGTCACAGTAGAGGTGGAAAGGTATTTTCATTTAGGTATTTTGAGTATATTTAAAGTTACTTCTACACCACTACATCTCAGAGAGAAATATTGTAATTTTTACTGTGCTACATACTGTATATTTTAAAGAATACAAATATAATAACACCAGCATTGATGCATCAATAACAATTAGTAGCATGAGTTATTTTACAAAAAGTTTATTTTGATGCAAATCCTTAAATAAAATGTTGAATGCAGGAATCTTATTCTAGTGTATTTCTACACTGTGGTGTTGCTACTTTAACTTAAGTTATAGATCTGAGTATTTCTTCCATGACTGTGCGCATTATACGCTGTATACAGTACATGCAGTACACATGAACGGTTCCTTTCATACTTGTAACCCAATTATAACAGCTGGTAATGAAAATTTACATAAGCCTGTAACACAAAGAGAAACAATCACACACACAGTTACAACACGTCTTTGTCTTGGGTTTTTCCAGATTCACTTTATCTTTTGTGTGTGTGTGTGTTATCAGTTCTTATCTCTTCTTGGTGTTACTTCATCCTCCAGTGTTTAATGGCTCAGAGACAAAAAAAGATGTTTGAAAGAGCAGAAAATCCCCACATTATGAGCCAGTGGCAACTTAATAAAAAGCCATATATTTACTGCAGATCTGTATCAGTGGACAGCTGACATGCAGCCGATGTAACGTCCCACTCTGCACACAAAGATGTAGGTTAGTTTTCCCAACACCTTTTCGTTTAATGACCCTTTTAAACAGTTTTTATACGGGTTGAAGGTCGTGACCAGAAAAGTAAAAACACAACATGTCCTCATAAAAAAACCCAAATAAACCAGGTTGATAGTCAAGTGTCCCAAAAAGACATGTATTACTGTCTGTCCACTGGAAAAAACATGTACGGGCGTCGGCAAGCACGGGTCCACCGACCTGAAGGGCGTTCTGTTACTTGCATGATGTTTAACACGTGGTAAATGTTATAAACTGGCAGTTTGGTTAGGTTTAGTAACAGATGGTGGTTTGGGTTAAAGTTAGTACGTCATGTAAGTCATCTACAAAAAGTTATTTAACTTAAAACATGTTGACTTTGACTTTCTTCCACACAGGACTCGAACCTCTGACTACTGTATGAAACCTCCACAGACTTTCTCCTGACTTCTTCTTCCTGCCTCTGATTAGCTTAGCCTGACAATGACATTTTGACGATTTTGACAAGATTGTTAGCCGTGACGTGATCCAGTGAAAGTTTAGGCCCCTGACATGCAGCTGCCACTTTGGTGGATGAAAGAGATGCGAAAGCAGCTGACAATCCAATCACAGTGAACCTTTGCTGTGGTTTAAAGCCACGCTGTGAAGAGAATGCTGCGACTTAACATAAGAATAACACCAGATCAGTGAACAAAGGATCAGTGCTCATCAGACCAGATGAACCAGGCGGACGCTGGTGGTCGTTGACAAAAATTCATTAATGAGCGAAGGAGTTGCTACTGTGAACAAATGATCTGAATTTAGAAGAATTTATTACAATTTTGAACTAATCTGAAGAAGACAACAGATCAACAACTTCCTGTTCTTCCAGCGAGAGCTGCGTGTGAAACGTCATCATCAGGCTGAGCCAATCAGACGCAGAGTAGGGCGGGTGATTCGTAAATTTACTTTTGCTGCTGCTTAGTCGACCAGTTTTTTCTGGAGAGGACGTGCTGGAAAAAAAGCAAACATCAGAGTAAAGTCTGAAAAATAAACAGCAGAATTTGTTCTTGTTTTGTTTTGACTGTCCTATGAATCGTCTCAGGTTCTCTTATTATTATTTTATTTATCAGGTGTAATCTCGTCTGAAATAACGGATAAAAAAGACAAATATTTACTGTTAAATGTTTATGTTTTCTACTTTTCTATTAAAGTTTTATAAAGATAATAGAACAAAATGATCCACATGTTGGGAAGATAAATAAATACACATATTTGAAGTACTTGTACTTTACTTTGACTCCACCACAGTTCAGAGGGAAAAAATATTCTTTATACTTTACTACAAATATCTGACAGCTTTAATTACTTATTTCTAATTATTTTCAGAACCTTTACAAACTAATCAGCAGAATAATCTACAATGATTATAATGAATAGTTGCGATGTGTCATCATACTTTACTGGTTTGGTGTTTACATGGTTCATGAGAAATAATAGTTTAATAACAGTAATGATATAATGATAGTGTAACAGTCACAGTGGACTTTTACTTTTAACACTTTAAGTACATTTTCCTGATTATACTCACATACTTTTACTTAAATAACAGTTTCTATGCAGGACTTTCCCTTGTAACAGAGTATTTTCACAGCCGACCATTAGCAGTACTTTTACTTCCTCCACCCCTTGTTATAACAACCACGGGTCTCACAGCCGACGCCCACAGCACTCTGAAAGTATTACAAAGGTACACACAGAGAGGTAATTTCATCAAAATGCTAAGGAAAAGTGAAAACATCGATGATGCAACGCGTGAAAAGGAAAATGAAAAACGGCTGAAGACTTGAGTAATGTTGTGGTTTCCAGAGGAAAGCTCTGGAGAGTACAACCATCTGGAAACGAAACGCTGTAAAGCCCACGGAGAGAAAAGGAAGGAGGCAAGGAGAGAGAGAGAGAGGGAGGAACTTTTTACCGGAAGGTTTCGTCACTCGAAGAATTTCCCTGAAGCAGCAGCAAAAGCCCGCAGGCAGCAGCTTCCCTTTCACACTAACAAACAAACGTAATGGACATGACTTCATGCACTTCAGTATTCCTAATGGGAACTGAGACCGCTTGCTTTTAAATAATTAGAGTTGTACACTTCCTGGTTTATGACGTCTAGAGTATCATTATATAAGACTTTTGTACACAATATTTTGACTCCTGTAGTGTTGGAGAATGACAATATTGTGGCAAATGCAGGCCTAAAGTAGGATATTATATCATACATGTGTGGCTGAAATTAAGTTTATCCCTCCCTGGTGGAAGAACAATCTCCTGTTAATCAAAGTCTGTCAGGCCAGCGCGCACTGTGGCAGATAAGATAACACCCTGTGGCTTCTCAGCAGATGGCCTGTTATAAAAACGACCCATTATTAGATTTTCATCATGTAATTAATGAAGACAAACAGCAGCAGATGGTGCTGGTGGCAACTCTATAGACTTTTTTTTATGTTTTCAAATAAACCATTGATTCTTGTGCGTCATACTTAATATCTAACACATTTCATATTTAAAACCGAGCCTGAAGCCATAGATAGAAAGATAGATAGACCAGACATTGGAGCATAACAACTTTAATACGTTGAATATAGCCTACTGGAAGCTGTACTATGTATATTATATTTACTGTAATAAAGAACAAAAGGTGTAAAATATTCTAAACCTCGTTTCATAAAATGCCTTCATGCCTCTTGACCCTGAGTTTGTTTTATACACTTCTAATAAAACTAACCTAATCTATAATAATAATATAATACAATTCTGGCACATTAAACATTTATTTATGTGTTGTTAATGTGCATTGTCCCTGTTAAATAAATCTGAAATTAAATAAATAAATATTATATCTTCATGTCTTTTGTGTTTGTTTTGTACACGCTACATATAGCCTGATGCAAGGGTTTTCAAACTTTTTCACCTTAAGGTCCCCTAAACGGACCCCCATCCGATAGGATTTTGTCCCAGGGTCCCCCTATCTCTGAGGATTTTTGCTTTTAAACCTGTGATCCAAGTAATCACACATTCTGTGATTGTGTTACCTGAGGATGGAATTATAGGCTAAATAACGACAATAAATGAATGTCCTTTTTGCTGGGGACCCCCTCACTTTGAGAACCACTGCTTTTAATAACAGGTAATATTGTAGAGACAATCATTAAACTCCCCTAAACTGTTCAATGCTTTTATTATGACGGCCCCTCCATCCGGGTAACTTTGACGCACAGGACGTCAGGAGCAGAGGGGGCGGAGCCAACCTGTTGAATACCCGAAGCGCGTCCGTTTCCCAGAGCAGATCAGTCCGCCCGCAGAGAGACGAGCCGCCGCCGGAGACACACTGTGAAGAAGAGACAGCGAAGCAGGTCCAAAGTGGACAGATCCTCTACTGGACTAACGTTTTATATCCGGGGACACGAATCCGCTGCGGAGCAACAGAACCCAGAACCTCCAGAACCGGTCCAGACTGAAAACCTCGAGCTCAAAGTTTCAGCTTTTTATTTTTAAACTTAAGCGAAAAGGACAAAACCATGTTCAGCCTCTGCCTCGTGCTGGTTTTATCTGCCTCCGTGTTCTCAGAGTCGGTAAGTTGTTGTTTTTTATTTTATTTAACTAAACATTTAAAAAAAAAAAAAAAAAGGTTTTTATGTGATGAAACTTTTTATTTTGTTGTTTGTTTGTTTGTTTGAAGCTAGCTTAAAGTTCTGCTGCTAGCTTGTTTTGTATTAACGTTCATCAGCTTTGATTCGGTTTAATGTTTTGAAACGTCTCGCGGAGCTTGTTTGTTGTTGTTGTTGTACAAAGTTGATTACAGAGCCTCGGGGTTGTTAGCCAGCTAGCCTCGCTGCTGAGGGTTGGGGGGGGGGGGGCTCAGGCAACCACAGCCTGCTGCCATTATCCCTCATGGGGCCCAGATGAGGGGGGGGGGGTGGATCCTGCCTCTGAGGGGCCAGCCTCTGGGACACTGCTCTTTTTACATGGAGGACTCTCTTTTTATTTCTATTTATTTATCAGGAAAAGTTGCCCCCTCCCGCCCTCTGATTAAACCCAGGTTGGCACATTAGATCTCCTGGTGGTGCTTCTGGCTGTGATTTGGTGCAGAAATGTATTTGTTCTGATTTGGAAAGTTTATTTGTGCAACAAGGCATTTCAAAGTGCTTTACATAAATCAAAAAGCAACATAGGGGTAATATATAGAGAGAGGGGGAGATAAACAGGACAGGAAAGGTTAAGATATTAATCTATAGCCGTACATTTGATTAAATAAAAGTGTTTTCAGATGATCTTCTGGGAGTTTGTACCAGAATCGGGTATTGCCAGGTAGATTTTTTTCCCCTACATATGAGGAATTTGCCTGGTTATATATTTGGTGCTTATCAGTACAGATAAATAAAGAGTGCAGTGTAACGTCAAACAGTTGCAGGTATATGGAGCATAACGGCTGAACGCTGCCTCTCCATGTTGTCCTACTGAAATCCTTTTTTTCCAGGGAGCCGCTGATGCGTTGAGGGGTGTGATCGAGTTGAAATGGTGTCTTGCTGTGTTGTGAAAAGCAAAAGCCTGACTTAATGCCAGAAGAATTTTAAGTGCAGAGCAGCGTCACTGAACTGGCTGACGCGTACGAATGTGATTTCCCAACGACTTGAGGTTTTTCCCGTCTGTAGTTGTTTATCAGGAATGATCTTCTCCTGATTTGTTGTTCTGTGAAACACTAACCCCCCCCCCCCACACACACACACTTTGAGTGGACTTGTCCTGTGGATCAATGATCCCGCGGTACTTGAGCCTTAAGAGACACTTCTGTGGTTAAGATACTGGAAATAGCTGAAACATCCACTTTATGTCTTTGAAAACTACTAAACAATACCATAAAGGTGGATTCAGGACCACCCGAAGGGGCTGTGGTGGTCCGACAGGCAGAAAAAGGTTAAGAAACACTACTGTTGTTTTATTCTTCTGCCACCCACGCCTATTTTCTTCATCAACTGTGAAATGTTTGTTATTGAAACACCTGATAATATCGCGCTCTAGCCAAAGGAAAGAATTGCTGTGTGAAGATGGTGTGTGTGCCTTTTTTAGGAGAACAGTGTCCATGTGTGAATGCGGAGATGATTATCGTCCGTGTTGGACTCATTTATCTCGACATGCACCGACTTGCAACAGAAAGTTTGTTCAGTAGCTTTTCTTTGTGCCTTTTTTTTTTTTTTTTTATTCAGAAGCTGGAGACAAGAACGGGTCATTAAGGATAAACCTGTCATTATTATATGTTTGAGCTCGAGTTAGTGCCCGTCAGTTTAAAATAAAGTCATTATTAAGTAAGATTAACGACCCAAAGGTGATTATTTTGTGTGCTTGAGCTTAAGTTGGTGAACTTTAGCCCACATCTCTTTCTGTTCCTCTGAAACATTTCCCCCGCCGCCGCCGTTCACGCCTAACCTCATACTCTACATATTTAGAGAACCTGTTTTCTAATACTGTAGGAAAGGGGGGTGCTGATACAGGCTGTCTGGATGCCACCCACACACAGACACATGCACCCCCCCCCCCCTCCTCCCAGTTAGCCCAGTTGGTCGGCACAAATGGTGTGAATGGGTGAACAGCAGTAACACCCCGACTTTACAAGTCATTTCCGGGCGGAGCGCATGCCTGAAATACATCTGCTGTACTTAAGGTTTAAACCGGACTACAGTGAAAACGTGCATCAGTGGTCCGCCTTTTAGGCCGCTTCCTGTCACAAGCGGGCGACCCGCACGCCGTTGGCCGGGTCCACCTCGCCTTTTACTGTCTGTTACCTCAAAGCCATGTAGCTCCTGCGTACTCACTCGCCCTCTTCTTCCTTTTAATTTTTTTTTTCCCCCCTCTGGAATGTGACCTTTGGTGACCTTGAACGGCCCTCGTGGGGATATTGCACACTTGGAGGGATCTCAATAGGGCCCTGGGGCCTCTTCATAAGGGCCAATCCTTTTCCCCTAGCCTAGCGTGGGCACAGCGTTCCCAGCAACACATGCTCAGTTCCTACCTTTTTTGGGTTGTGGTTTGTGCTCCTTTAACGAGCCGTTACCCTCCAGATTTCGGGTATTCTTTGTTCAGTCTTTACCCCGTCTGTTCCCGTCCGTTTGTTCGCCGCCTCTCTGATCACTTATCATTCCTAGGTGGGCCTTTCTCTTTCTTGTTTTGCAGCACTTTCCCTTTGATGGACACTTAAGCCTCTGAGCTATGACAATCCTTCCCTCCACCTCCCTCCCCTCAAGCCTTTTCTTCTCCCTGCCCACTGAGGTCCTTACTGGTATGTGGGTTTGGCGTTCCCAGCTAATCGATAACAATGATCTGCTACCTGACAATAGAGGCTTTTTATTTTGGGCGGGGGGGGGTGGGGGCACAGGCATGACTGGAATGTGTTTTTATCAATTGACAGGAGTTGGCCGGCCGCCAAAGAGACATTTTCTGATTCTAGGAAGCTTCATTTACTGCTAAGTTTATTTTTAAGTCCGACCATTTTGATTTCCGTCAGATATGTTGAGCCGTGGCCGAAGCCTCGTTTACAGTTTTATCAGTTTGATAAAGAGCGGCCGAGCTAAACAAACTTTTCTTTTTTTTTTTCCTTCTTCTTTTTTTTTTTTCTCTTCTGTTGACCTCAGCATTTTCTGCCCGTGTATGGAAACACAAGTCCTTCACGACGGGGCTCTTAGGCGAAGGTTAAAGATAAGAAAGTGAACTGTTGCTCTGATTGTTTTGTGGTTTTCATTTCAGTTCGACGTGTCAAAGCACCTTTTTTAATTCACCAAATGTGCCACTGCGGTTGTTAATCAGGGTTGGATAAAAGAAATCCTCTTTGCTCCGGAGTTAATCCACGTCTCACCACCAAAACCAACCTCAGCTTGTTGCCCGCGAAGCCTCCGGCGCTCCAGAGTCCATTTGTTATATATCTTGTTGGAATGTCGCTGCTGGTTTTGCATTTAGCTCCCGATCATTTGCACGAGAATGAGCCGGGTCTCTTTTGCATGACGGGGTGCGCTGAATGCCTGTGCGGTGAAAAGAGCGCCGGGGAAGGGAGGGCGCATGATAAATAGTATCACTAGGATGCAATAATGGTTCCTGCATTGCTGTCCGCTGGTCTATAAAATCCCTTTTGGGGCCGAGGAATGTTGGCTCAGAGCGCGAGAGGAGGTTTTTGTCCTTCCTGTCCATGATGGAGAGCAGTCGAGGATCTGATTCCCTCCTCACCCCCCTTTTTCAACCACTACATATTCTGGCAGTTGTACCGGGAACTATATGAATACATTTAGGGCACAAGTCGACCATACCCCCCCCCCCTTTATGGTTATGACTTTCATCCAGCTTTTGTGGACACTTTCTAGTTAAACATAGCCTGGACCCCAGACAGCAGCTCAAACAGGGCTGCGACGCCCAATTAATGTCAATATTGGTTATAATCTGACGCTGCTTTTATAAATGACAAGGGCTATTTGAAGTCTTCAAGTTGCTTTTTTTTTTTTTTTTTTTTTTTTTGCCTGAACTGCTGCAAGTCTTCACATTTAAGACTCTCGGCCCGTAACACGTTTGGAGTTTTTGTAGATATAATGTCTGACCTGATTTGTGTTTGTTTCATGAACAAATTGTGGAACTTAAAGGCCTTTCATCAAATCCATTCACGGCCACGTTTTAACACCCCCATAACTAAATTAACTGACCCAGCTGCACGCTCTTCTTTATGTAGACAGGCTGGGAAACGTGCAGCTTAACACGCCACTTCCCTCCCCTTCTTCTGCCGTGGCCCTCCAAAAAATATGGAGGGCCACGGCAGAACATGGAATATGAGCCTCGCTGTGTTTCCACTGGGGAAATGTATCAGCGTTTGATGTCTCGGTCCTGCAGCCTCGGCTGTCCCAGGACGCCCCGTCAGACTCTGACAGATGGTTGTTCCAGGCCCGAAGCCAGACTGTTAGCAACTCTCAGCGCTGATGCACTCGCTGCTTCCCACACCCCCCCACACACACACATACACAACCCCTCCAAGCAGAACAGATGTATCTGACTTTAAAAGTGGAGAGCGAGCGCATGACATGTAATAATCAAAATGCAGCAGCAGCCCAGGGCCGGGCGGCGAAGTCAGATGTCCCAATAATGTTGACTTAATATCTGTAATGTGATTTAGACATTGTGTTTTAGGGATGTTGACACCTTTTTTTTTAGAAGATGAAAGACTTCAGAGAAACAGGGTTGTTTGTGCGCTGAAAGATTAGATGAGTATGACCTGCTTTTATTTATATGGACCACAGCTGCAATGATTAGTCAATTAATCAAACCACAGAAAAGTAGTGACAGCTGTTTTCAAGCAAACGTGCTCAATATTCTGATTTTTAACGTCCTAAATGTGAAGTTTTGCTGCTGTTCTTCATCATATGTGATACTAAATTAAAAGTCTTTAGGTTTTGTTGACTGTTTGGACCTTTCAGCGTGGCCTCTGAGAAACTGATGGGCCAGTTAATCAGGGAAACGATCGCAAGAGTAACCGATAATGAAAATAATCAGTACTTGCTGTCCTGATCTGGACTTTTAGACTTTCTACTTTAACATTACAAAC